CTTATTTCTGTTACATTAGAGCTACTAGTTCCATATGTACCAATTGCTGATACTGTTAGGTAATACAATGAATGATCATTTAGCTTTATATTCCAGTGTATAATATAAAACTCATCAATGTATTGAAGACTGTTAATATCCAATGGACCTAATGTATTAATGTGTCTATTAGCTTCAAACAGAATCAATTGCACTTCATCTATAAAGCACTGAAGTATCTAGTGATATAATCAATCTTATAGTGTATAGTACAAATGCTCTTACTTGAAATCTCATGATTATTGTTTCATTGGTTAGGTATAATGCAGATACATTGTCAGGTTTTGGTGTCAATGCTATATTTTGAATTAGAGAACATTAATAGTTACCCTTTAGTTGTACCTGTAAATATAAATTTTATGTCTTTATTACAATCGGTTTTTGCTTTTGGTAGAGCCAGTTTGAAAGTATAAAGATTACAAAAATTTTTGCCATCAGTATAGGTATATGCATTATGTCCAGTAACAGTAATTGTATCATTGACTGTTTGAAGTGAATCAGTGATATGCAGAGTAAGTACACTGTTAATAACTGGAATACCCATTTCCCATGATACTGTAATACTGTGAGGTGTAATGGATAGGAAGTCAAACCTATCTATAACTAATAAACCTTTATAAGAGCATGTTACATCCATTAATAGTACCTTGATCTAGTCTGTATACAATATTAGTCCATCCTGACACTGCATCATAGCAGTCTATGTTAGTAACATTGTAAGTAGATGATAGTGGATGAATATGGCTACCAAAGTCATAGATTATACCCACAAAACCTATAAAACCTATCCAGTTTATGAGTCCACACTTGTATACAAACACGGCATATGTGGCATTACTTTGATGAGCTACTACAGCCTGAAAATGATTAGACTACAAGAAAAATTATTTAATATAAGTTATATTGTTAATTAACCTCAGTATTGTTACAAATATTATCAGTATTTGGACATAGGTCATACCAATAGACCCACAGTATCCATTCAACAGATACACTACTACCAGTTGAATTAGATAAGTAATCATTGACTTGATTGCACAATGAAAGATTTGTTGTCGGAGTTATAATAGCATAACGTACTTCACCTCTTCCAGCAGTTAAGTCTATATTAATGTCTAATAATGGCATAATATACAAGCTACCACCAAAAGAGATATATCCATAAATCTCAATCTAAACAATATATAAGTTCATTCATTATAGTCATACATGTTATACAATCCTCACTATTGCATAGTTGAAACAAGCGTGGCGAGTCCAACAAGAGGATCCAAATTCAAGTGTGGACGGGAATGATACATTAACACTATAAGAAGTATTGCCGATTGTTAAATAGTCAGTAGGATGAAGGAAGGGAAGGTAGTTACTCTCAGAGTTAACAAGGAGACCATTGAAGTAGATAAATATCACAAACACTATCATCATCTTTACTAGTATACCAATATGAACTGGATTAATTCTAATCCCAACTGTGCGTTGTTATCAATAATCTTTATATACATGTATAATACTTTTAAACATATCCTGTTTGGTTTATAAAAACTAGTTAGTAACTTATTAGAAATGTAAAGTAATAGTAAAGTGGTACAATAGTGCACGTTTGATTATTATTGTTCACTCTTGATTGTTTATAGACTATAGACTATAGTGAGTTTCACCTGTAAATAAACTATACATGAAACCTGTTACATGTAAATTGTTTATTGTATGTTTTTAAACTTTTAAACAGGTATCATTTCCATTATAGCTTATATCTGTTACTTATGTACAATAATTTAATAGAAGTTCAACTTATGTAGATCTAGTATGGTTGGTTTCTCTGTAGCTTATACTGATGACAGTGTGGTTTTAACTCAATACTTGCTTGTCTCTTTTTACTGTTAGTTTCATATTAATTGTACTGTATCACCTCTACTTGCAGCTATCACAAACACCCTGGTATAATGTACTAGTGAGGAAATTGTTTACTATGCTCTATAATGATGATGATGATCTATAATTATATAACTTCCAATAACCGCATGGTAGGAAAATGTAGCACTGTGTAGAATATAATATAGTACTGCACAGTATAATATGTATGGGTGTATGGGCTTTCCTGTTAACCACAAGCTTTGATAGAAGCAAATCACAGCCACAGCTACATACACTAGACATGTAACAATAATAATAAATAATAGTGATAAATGAGATCTGTAGTCTGGTCCAGCCTCTTTATTGCGTGGGGGCTGTGCCACCCCTGCGCAACAAAGAGGCGGGACCAGACTATGATGATAATTGGATTTTGTTTGTCTTTTGTGTGCATGTCACTGCATTATTACAATAATGTTTGCCTCTAGTTTTATTCATATCCTGTTTTTTTGTTA